GGCAGCAGGAGCAGGGGCTGCCCCTACGGTCTGGTGCTGAGCGGCGCGCGCGTGTGGCCGTTCACCTTCTCATAACCTTTGTTTTTTTCAATTTTGAGTCATCATGCCAACATTGGTATTGCACTGGCACTAAATGGTGGGCAAAATTGTTTTCCTGAGAGCAGCAGAAGAGCGTTTGTTGGTTCTAAAGGTGAACGTTTTTTTCTATATATACGTTTACAAAGCTCCCTGTGTAGAGGGTTGGGTGGCACAGCGGGTTGAGTGCGATGGCCAGAGTTCAAATCCTGCTGTAGGTCACAAATGTGAACCATGTAGATAGTCCTGACAGACACTTGTACTACAGAACAATTAAAACCCTTGGAACGATTTGTCAACTGTTGCTTGAGCAGTCTAGGATGTCTGTGCAGACGGGAATCAGAGTTGCAGGTCATGTTGAAGGAGCTTGGGCAGATCTGGATGTGGTTCCACAATGCCTGCCTACCCTGATCCTAGCTGTAGGTTATTAATTTCCATGAGTAAAAGTTAACAATTGAGGACTAATGAACTTGAATTGCAAAGGAAAAGAAACTATTGAAGTAGTTGCACACTTAACTTTGTTTATTCAGACGGCATTTTTTCCCCACCCTTTCGATTTTTATTAGGGATTTTTCTTGTCTATTGTAAGAGTTTGTTTTCCTACAGCTAAGCAGCAAACAAAAATGAACTTTGTTTCACTTTGGCCTTATCCACAGAATGGCTCAGCAGCAAGCACTGAGATTTCGTGGCCCAGCTCCCCCACCAAACGCAGTTATGAGAGGCCCACCACCTCTCATGCGACCACCTCCACCTTTTGGTATGATGCGAGGTCCTCCTCCGCCACCTCGCCCCCCTTTTGGACGTCCTCCATTTGATCCGAACATGCCTCCGATGCCACCTCCAGGAGGGATTCCTCCACCAATGGGACCTCCACATTTACAGGTAAAGAATGGGAGATTCTCTTGGTTTGTTGAGTTGGGATTTAGGGATTTTTCTTGTTTGTTTTCACCTGTGGCGATAATAAGAGAAGAGATATTAAAATGGATGAAAAAAATAGCAGGGCATGATGAGAATGTAAGGCTCTTGCATGGTATTATAAAACTAATGCGTACTTGTGGCATGTAAATACAACTTCTGTTTAGCTCCTCGGGGCAATTCTAAATTAATCAGTTATGCAGTTAGGATACGCTCACCAACAGAGTCTTCACTAAAATCTGACTTCATGTTGGTGCCCTGTGGCCATGCAGAATGCAGGATTCGGCTGTGCTCAGATTTCTGAATGCCTCAAAGCAGGCATGTGAAGTACATGTCAGCCTTCTAGGGTTATCAGAATTATTCTGCCTGTATTCACTTAGTGAGGTAATGACGGACATGCAAAAAGACTGACAGAAGGTGCAGCTGAATTCCATGTGAGTTCCAGCATGAGCCAGACCTGCCATCACAATGGTGGTTTGTTATTACTGATCACTGAGGGCTTGGTTAGGTTAGGTGGGCAAGTAGCACTTCTGAGAAGTAGGTATATAATCAGTGATGATGTGTGTTTTATTTCAGGATCATGTTCAGGAGGGTGCATCATTAGTAATGTACCAGAAATTGTCAACACCCTGGCTAAGGAAAATTTAACATTTGGGAAAAAAACTAAGGGTACTCTCAGTATTTGACTGGAGCAGCTGCAGGTGGCCCTTGTGCTGACATAAGTTTACTCTTGGCAGAGGGAGAGTGTTCTTTACTTTGTGTTTATTGTTGTTATGGTCTTGTGGTTGGTTTTTTTCTGTGGTTTTGTTTTTTTAGCTTACAGCATTCCTAGCACCTACAGAAATAATATGACCTTGTTGGGCTCAAGTAAGGTAGATTTCTGTCTGTATTTCATGGTGATGTATGTTTAAGTTCTTTTGCCAACTTTTCAGAGACTCAGACCGTTTGAGATGTACAACGTGTTTGTGAATAAGAGATGTATTGTCTTACTGGGATTGCAGGAGTATAGTGCTATTAGAGCAGTGTAATTATTATGTGGGACTGCAGGCGGCCTGGCAGGAGGTAAATAGTACTACATGGTTTATAAATAGTGGTTTAAATTCACTATTTGTAATAGAATAGTGAAAACTTTAGTGCTGTGAGATTTATTTTAATATGTAGGGATGTGGGCAAGATGGAAAGAGAACATGCTGACATGGGTTATTTCACGGTATTTTAGGCCCCGCTTTGCATGTTTTTTGGCAGCAGGGCTATGGGAGCTTTTTTCCACGTTACTCTTAATGCAGATTAGTTCAGTGTATAGCTTTGCAGACAGCTTTACATGAAATAGAGCAGTATGAGAGGAAGCAAAAAGAAGCAGCGAGAACAGGAACAAGGATTTAAGCTGGACTTCAATCTAAAATAGCTAACATCAAATTGTAGTTTAATTTTCTGTGCTATCATTATCCCGAGCGCAAGATTTCCAGAAGAAGCTAGTGCATGTTTTACATAGCAGTTTTCTCCCTATCTTCTGAAATATAAAGCGTGTTGTTAGGACTCGGACTGCTCAGGGAGGTGTGAAGTAACTATTCATTCCACTGAAACATTCTCAGCTGAATGAAAGTCCTGTGGAATTGAAGACTGAAACAGTATGTTTGAGGGGTGTAAACAGCCCCACTCACCTCATTGAATGTCATCTTTCTTCTTCCTTTTATTCAGTACTAAGGGCCTTGTTCTATGGTATGTTTTCATGCTCAGCTTAAGTTTATTTAAGACTATTTCCACCTACTGCTTTATGATCCCATTTTCCCTCTTGGTGTTAATATTCGTGTGCCCTTTAAAGCTCTGATGCAATGCAGAGTGTTGGAGTGTGCAGTGGAACTTGGATTGAGAGGGGAGAATAGGACTCTGCTTCCTTATTAGAGTTTCAAGAATCAGAGTTAATTTGAAGCCTCAAGCCTAGTTGCTGATGTGTCTTTATGTGTTTGATTTATATTCTGAATGTGCATCAGCTCTCAGTTGTTACATCATAGCTGTTTTATCATGCCATGCAGTAAGCATGTCTGTTACAACTCATTACCATACATGGAATTCATGCATCAAGCATGTCTAAATTTTTCATGCTATGTCAGCTCTGTGCTCTGCTTTGCACCAAATGTTTTGTTCTCAGCTTGTCATCCTGCTTCTGGTGCAAGGGGAGACACGATATTGAGAGGTCCTGTGGTAGAAACGAAGGAGAGGGTGTGCTTAGAATGGAGCTGAAGGGCATTCTGGATCCCCTGGCTGTGTATCTGGCATCCCCTCCTTGCTCCCAGGACTGCCCTGGAACAGTCTAACCCCCTTTTCTGGGGAAAGCAGCAACAACAGGCAAAAAGTGAGCTCTACTGGATTCTTTTTACAGATTGTAGAGCTGTAAAGAGAAAGATCATCTTGTGTCCAGATGGAGGAGCTGTGGAGAAGAAAGAAGGAAGGAAAGAAAGGCTATGGTTGTCTTAATGTTGTTTCTGTGATGCTGCATTTCTTGCACACA